ATTATTGCTCCGAAAAATATCATTTAAAATATAAAACATACTGAACGATATGTGATAATTATTTAAAAATTTATTTTTTTGCGTGAATAATTGTTTTATTCAACTGAGCATTTAAATTATATTAAAAGGCGGCCGTGTGTAGATAAAAAAGCCCGTGTTGTGACGTCAAGGCCAAACAATCGCAATAAAATATTTGTTATAAATGAATGTGTACCTGAACGGTTATAAGCCCTCTTACATTTAAATCATTAAACATAATTTTTTCTCACGTCATCCTTGAAATATGTACTTGAAAGATATATAATTTTTCTCGACTCAACAGACACTCGAGTGATATGCAACTAAAAAATTACTAGTACGTAATATACGATCCTCTTTCAAGAACTGATCATACATTAAACGTCAAAATTGCAAATATTGAAAATAATAAAATTCTCGTAATTTAACTCGTAATTAAGATCCTTATCTTTACAAAAAATTTAAATTTGCATATCTTTAAACGAAAGACATAGAAGTTAAACATTAAAAGTATTTTTACGTACAAGTTCTCCTTGTGCATGAAAATTATTTCATGTTCTTAGCCGTTAGAAATTAATGAGATATCAAGTAATAACAAGTCAGCAACTTTCCTTATCAAACAAGTAGGAAATGTTTCTTGAAAATATCTATCGGCGAGACGATAAAACAAGAATGAGGAATCGGGGCATTCAACTACGTTACTTGTCAGTTTATCGTTGACTTTCGTAAACTCATTGCTCGACTGTACTTGACGCGAGAGTATTCTCATAAATACGCTACTTGATGCACATAAATACGCTACTGTTCTCTCTCTCTCTCTCTCTCTCTCTCTTTCTCTCTCTCTTGTAGCGTGAGAGAACACATGCGATTTGCCATGTGAAATTAACTCTCAATCACACCTTAAAAATGACACTGCTCGAGTTATTACACGTTAACGTCTTATAAAATGTATTGCTACCAATGATACTCATTTATTGATAAAATTAATGTGTACATTTCAAAATCGGCACTTTAATTTTAATAAACATAAAAGGATTTAAACATTCAATCTTATAAAAAAAAAAAATTTTTAATTTTCCCAAAACTAGTTTCAAAACATTCATCGGACAAACTAATCACACAATAATTATATTTCATTATGGATGGAGGTTAAATAAAGGGCTAAACGTCTCAATGCATTATCGAATAGTGGTAAACCATGCAATAATATTGAAATAGAGCCGTATTAAAGTCCATTTCGAAATCGCGTTGTTTTGCACGATTGTTACGAACCCGCCCAGTGTTATCGTCATTAATATGATTATCATTATCATTAGCGCGAATGCTCCATGCCGTGCACGAACGCGCAATCTCTTCGCGAAAGTCTCATCGACAACGCATGGTCGTACCTCGGTAGCGACTTTCCGCTTCCGGTACGACCGTAATCGGCAACGAAGATTCTCCCACCGGTTACCGTTTCCAAGCTCAAACTCGGTATATCTAATGGTTCCCGATAAGAAGCGTTTAGCAATGAAGGGAACGACTTCCGGATCGACGATTTACGTTAAACTCCGATATGAACCTGGAGTTGAAATAAATTTTTCACCTAATCCTTCATATTAAAAAGTATTTTATCGAGGTACTATAATTTTACGTTGACACTTCGAAAGAATAATTTATTAATATATGAGATTAGATATATGTCATTATATGATAATCAATTATATTGTCAAATGCATAAATATCTAAAAACTACTCAAATATGTACATTCAGGAATATCTCTTCATTAAATGAATTCTTCATGAAGTTAATGTACACGAATATTGAACGATTTAATACTTCAATATTTATGTAACGTTAAAATAAGAGTACATTAACGTTGTTCTATATGTTTGCGAAATCAAATGCAGAAACGTGTGCGCTCTAATTTGCGAGTCTTACAAAGTAGTTGTGAAAATGCTCGCGTATTCGTAAAATTTTATTCTCTGTGATCGACATTTTTTTTTGTTTTTCCAGTCGCTTGAACCTTCCGCGGATCGCTCGCTCAAACGATTTCGTAACTCTCGGCGCCGCGGCGCCCGGATTATCTCGTTACTTCAAACCAGCTCGGCATACCTTTCCCGTACATCGACTTCTGTACACGTATCGCGCACGTCGGCCGCACATGTCGCGGCAATGTCAAAGTTAGCCTTGTCCATTTAGGATTAACCTTCATGCCCGATTGACTAAACGCGACAACGCGAGGAAATCGCGGTCATAGATTGATAAAGAAACAAACGCAGTATTTCACAATACCAACATGTGATTTTACTTAGACCTTGACGCTTTAATTTCTATTCTAAAATGTTCCAGCAAAGTGCAGTATAAAGTATTTTGCATTTTTATTAGAAACAGTCCACTCGAGTCGTCGTTAAAATTTTATGTCGAACTTTTAGTACGTCTGAGTGTTGATTTAGCATAGGATTTTTTTTATGTTAAATTGACTTTCAAAATTTCTTAGTGTTAAAATAATTTACACAATTTATGAGTAAGTGAATGACAGAAAAATAGCGTTTTTTAAACACAAAAATTCTAAGGTAAATGAATAAAATGTGTTAACGTATTATAAATGTTAATTTTAATAAAGAAATATGATTGCGTCAGAAATTGTGTCAGTATCATGTTTTTGCATTTATTTTTTACACATAACATTTGTGCTATTTTTTAACATGTTTATCTTGTGTTGATTAATTCAACACAAAAATTGGAGTGGACCGTTTGGAATATGTAAAAAATGTTAAATTTAACACCAATTTTCTATGTAAAATAAAAAAATTTGTTGAAATACTAAAATCACGCGGTTTAGCTCGAATTAATCTTTGCTTCAATTTTCAACATTAAATACAGCTCACTCAATACCACAGAAAAACCGAGGTTTAATTTTTTATTAATCGCTTATTTAAAGTTCAACGACCTTTTGTTACAAAACACGAATAAAAAAGAAATAGAAAGAGTAAAGAATTAGTTGTATTAAATCGTCATTCGGCTCTAGGTTGTATATTGAGTTGAGACAGTTTCTGTTACGATTATAAAGAAGTTAATGATGAAATAAAGACATATAGTCATAGATACACTCCACAGGCTGTCGCCTTGCAAGTCGATCCCCTCCAAGCATTTTCCAGATCGTTAAACATCGTGTCGAGCAAGCGTGTCGCTCATTGACCCTCGTGTTCCAAGGATGTCCGATGGAAATTGACTAACGAAGAGACGTCATCGCGCAAAATGGTCCCGTGAAATAATTGCTGTTCCGAAATATCGCGATTCAAGAGCTCTCGTGTCTTCTCTCGATAGAAAATAACGTACCATTAATTGCCAACCATGCTGTCGTTTTAGATTTCGGATATATCGAAATTCGATTTTTTTTTCTTCCTTTCCTTCGTAAAAGGAGGTAAGTTGTTATTATGTGATCTTCCGAAAATCATGAGAGTCGCGACGCGTGACAAAATTCTATTCTACGAAGAGGTTGAAGATATGAGCATCTCTCATTATAATCAGAGGCACGCGCGACTGTCACTCGAGACGAGAGATGAGAAACTCCGCGATTTCTTCGCAATGATAAACAGACTAAACGTGCAATGCAAAGTCTTACGATTTCATTATGCTCATATGAAATTTCCTCTTTACTTAATAATAAAATTACAGACCATAACGCGTTCTCTTATTAAATATTACTTTATCTCCTTTCTACATGAGATCAAATATATTTCACAATCAGAATATGGTATACGTTCTTTGAAATGCTGAATTCATTTTCTTTCATGTTCTTTTGTGATTTCTTAACTGAACCTTTTTACCCACACATTAAATACAGATTACCAATAAAGCAAATTCTGCAGAAAAGAATCAGTTACCAGTAAAATGTTACATTCCTTTTCTGCAATTACGTAATTCAATTAGTCATTTTATTGGACGAATTTTTTATTAAACAGCACCCTAAATATTTTTCCCCTTAAACATAATCCTTAAACATAATTTTTTTTAATTTAAATTCTATTTTTAATTTGTCATGGCTTTATGCAGGATCCTGTAAAGATCGTAACAACGCTTAAGAGGAGATTCCTGAAATCATTTGGAAACAAAAAAAAATCCTAATATCAAAATATCAAGAAAGAATATTTTTCACATAATAAATATCAATAATTATAATTAACTTTACCTTCACATACATAATCTATATCGATATATAAAAAGAGCCGATAATAGCTTTTGCTTTTAGTACTTTGTGTTCTACCACACGTAAACGTACAATTTTGAGGCGATATAATTCGCTAACTTTAAATGCTTATAATTCAAAACCTATTACAGCCTCGACATTTCAACATTAGAATTTTCGTCTAAGAATGATTCCAGAAATCTATCCTTAAATATTTCTTAGAACATTCTGTGTATATAATAAACATTCATTTAATCTATTTATCTATTTTCGTCGATACAGATAATTTTATATATTATTTTCAATATTTGTTCGATAACACAAGTATTTCTTTACTTCATCCTAATCTTCGAAATACCTTTAAGCGTTTGGAAACGAAATATATTAAGAAAGTCGCCTCTCTCTCTCTCTGTCTTTATCACAAAATCGAAGCGAGCGTAAAATAAAGAAAGTAATAATAAGTCTGTTTGCGTTGTCTGTACTTTTTGCACTCAGCATCTTCGCTTCTCTCTTTTCAATATCCAAATATATATTTATTTCCTTTTAAATCCTCAATCGAACATAATAATTTCTACATTTAATATATTAAAAATCTAAATATTAATAATTTGGAATTAACTGTTAAATCTAAATAATGAGATATTACCTATAAATAAAATAATAGAGAAATAAAAACACACATACACACACACACACACACACACACACACACACACACACACACACACACACACACACACACATATATATATATATATATAAATTTTTGGAAAGTTCAAACGATTCAAAAGACCTATTAATTCACATTAAGCGTAATCGTTCATCGATCGCGACTCGCTCCTTTCGCAAGCGAACTGCACTCTTCGGAAAAGTTCACGAGGCCGCGCGAAATCCCGACGTCGACGCGTCAGAAGGTTAGCCGCCTCGTGAATTCTCGCGTTGAGTCTGAATTACCGAAAATGAAATCCACGTTACTCACCGGGATGACTCGTCGCGCACTTCCGTCCTCTCCACCCTCCCGCCTTCTCTCACGTCTCTCCTCTCACCGCCGGTGTGTAGGCTCCGCCGAATCCGTCTGGCGGCGTAAATTCGACGATTACCGTCACACACCTTCTTCGTCACGCACTGCGCGTCCGTGCCTCCCTTTTACGGCGCGAATTTCGTAGCCGAGAAATTTCGGAGTATACGCGGGATTCGGGAACGACGCGCGACGAACGATCCGCTCGCGTCGTAGTAACGTCACGGAGTCGCGCGGCCCCCGGGAACCGTCTCTGTCTCTCTTTCTCCCTTTCCCTGTCGCGAGCGAGCGGACCGTGCGCGGAGATACGATATCGATACAAACCTCAGGCCGTCATGCACTGACTGCCGGCACCCGCCCGGCCCACCGTCGCCGCCGCCGCCGCCGCCGCCGCTCTAACCGCTGCCGCCGCGACGGCCTTCTGCGCATGTCGCCATTCGCGCGCGCGCATATCCACCAAGTTCGAACGGAAGGAACTTACGGAACCCCGCCGCTCGTGCCGCCGCGCCAACGAACCCTGCCGCCGAACCGCCGAAGTTTTCATTCGTTTAAACGTTACATTTACAGTCGATCAAAATGTTAACAAATCTCTTTTTCGAACGATCTTTCTTCTCTGATTTGATTGATGGAGATAAATGTTACCGTTTATTAAGTATTATTCAGTAACCGAACAGAAATTTCTCCATCTTTCTATCTTTTTTCAATATCTACAGGTGCTTCATCTATAGAAAAAGAAAACAATTTTGCTATGATCTTTTTAATGAAGAATTCATAATTAGATACAAATTACAATTTATAATTAAATACGAAATTTATAGTTAGATACAAATTTGAAAATAATCGTATTGAACCATCAAAATGATTATGTAAAATGTTTGAGCGTTGATGACAAAAACATCTTAATATTCTAATCAGTTTAAGTATTCTACATAATTATTTTGTTCTAAAAAAAAAATCAATATTATTTTTAGACCCTTATCTAGCTAAATTTTTTAATGCTTTAGCAAAATTGTTCGTTTTCAAGTGGCAAAGTTTGCCGCGATGGATACATTGGTTTTTTTTAGTATTATAAAAGTACAAGCTGTAGTTGGAATAACAATACATTTTTCAAATTGGTGTATCTTTTCAAAGTGAAGAGACGAATTTAATCTATCGTTGGAAACATTACGGTCGTCATTCGTAGCTTCGTATCTGTACACGGTGTAACACATCGACACACGATACATGTCGAGATCTTTATTTCTCACTCCGCGCGACTAGAGTTACCAGCCATACTTTTTTAAATACATATATGTATATACTCCGTTTGAGATCGTCGAATTTGGTCATTAATTAAAATTTTACATTTGTAAAATCATATTGATAAGAATTGTCAATAAATTTATATTCTAAAAATTTTATTTTATTTAATAGCTTTAATGCATAAAACAATTACTATTATTACTAACAATTTCTCCTTCCGTTCTCGATCTTTTTTAAAAAAAAAAAAAGTATATACTCTTTTGCTGTGATTTATATGTAACACTACTCGCGAGGTGTTTGTATTCCCATAAAAGCGACCGAGTAATTCCCCTTGCCGGTATCGTCGAACACGACCCTGTCTTCGACGACCCAGCGACTGTAACGAATTTCTGCAATAAGACGAAAGCCCAGCTTCAAGGCTAACGACTGGCTCAAGCCCGATGTGAAGACGACACCTACAGCCGATATGTCCAATTTGGACGCAACTTGGATGCAAACCTTCAATAGGGCCGTGGCGACGCCTTTTTGCTGGTAAGACGGATGAACGCAGAGAACGTGGATTCGAAGATATATGTCGCAATCGAATTCTTCGTACACGTTCGATCGTTTTATCAGAGCATTGATCAGGCCCATAATTTTCTCTAGTGCATCTCCTTCAAAATTCTAAACCAATCGAATTTTTTGTTATATCATTAATTCGACTTATCTCAGCTGATCTTAAGAAACTTATCTTAGAATGCTGCTCATAGTTCTATAATCTTATTTAAAGTCTTATATATATATAAATAATATTATAGAACCTTAAAAGACCATCTAAGCAGTGGATACTTCCTTCGGTTTTTCCATTTACACATAAAAAAATAATGTTTTTAATTATAATGTAATGTAATAATAATGTTAACACACAAGAGTGTTAATTATTTGGTATTCTTATTACATTGAAATCTTGTGCCCGTTTCTTGAACCCAATATACATAGATTAACTTTATCTCGATTCAACTTATTCTTTATCTTTTTGCAATTTTAGAAAAAAATGAAGAGTTAGTTGAACCCAAATAAAAAATTAAACAAGAATTAGAGTTAAAATTAGAACAAAACCTCACGTACTAGTACTCGATTATATATGTCGCTTTTTTCTGAATTGCTATTGATTCGAGTAACAGCAACTCCAATGACTCGTCCAGATGTCAGACTAAGCGCAACCAAACTGGTAGTGTCTTTCATCCATATTCTTATAAGATCTAAGTATGTCTTGACGGACGTCTCATCTTGCAACAAGGCGATTGTTTTGCACATCGGTTCCTCCCGAAAAAAATGATGCTGCGAGAGAGTCAATAATCTTTATTATTACATTTGCTAGAAATGAATGAACCTTTTATTTTCTATTATTCTATAATTTCAATGAAATTATTGTTAGAGAGTGAGAGCCAATATGAGAATGAAATCAGTCATTTATTTGATATCTGAGCCTGGATTAAAGTTCTAAGATCTTCTTATTTATTGATTCCTGCCTCTATAAATAGTAAGGAAACAATATGGTCAAAAATTCAGTACGTCGGTCGGCAGATAATTTGACTTCTGTTGATATCTTACGAGAATTCTCTGAAATAATGCATTTTCTCAAATTTCAGTAATTACGTGATAATAACATGCGAGCGATAAATGAGATAACTGTGATTTTCTAACCGAATTTTGTGGAAAAAATATTTGGCGGATAAGAAGAGTAGAAAAACGCAGAATAAGGAAAGTCGAAAAAAAACTTCATTTTCGTACGATCAAAATATATAATTAATTGGCGTTGAACTATTCAATGGGAGCATGTTGTTCTCTCTAGGTTTTTCTCGCTGCTGAACTTTTATCAAACGCAGAGCTTCGTCGTAATGCGCTTCCTTGAGATCTTGGATTTTGCATATCGCCGGTGAATCCCACTCCAGAGGTGCATACATTCTCGCTTCCATTTCAACAATATCGTACCTTTTTTCCTCATCCATGACGAAGTTTATAACAGTAATTTATTTTGTTAACAGTAAATGAATGTAACCGTAAACTCAACGTGTTCCAAAATCTGTTTTGTCAATCAGCAGCTTTTGAAGTGAGGTGAAACAGTG